GCCAGCCGAAGGCGGCCCCGGCCCGGCCCGCCACGCAGTCTTCCTTCCTCAGGTGTCACATGGTCCAGCCCAGATCTTGCCAAGGTGAGTCTCATCCAAGTCCCTGAGCTCTCTGGAGGAAGAAAAGGCCAGAGAAGGCCAGCTGTCCCCTTCCTCCTAAGGCCAGAGCCAGCTCCCGCTGCTTCTGCAGAGGGGCCCAGCACAGAGGCCACCTCTGCTGGCCCACCGCACTGGCCATGCCACGCTCCCCTGCAGCCAGGCTGAGGAGCATCGTGGGTGCCCACACCCCGGCTGTCTCCCAGAGCCGGCTGCGGTGGCGAAGGAGTGGTGGCCACAGGCCCTGGTCCATCTCAGAGGCTGCCACCTCCTGCTGCCCACCCCCACACACCTGTCACGGGGGCGAGTCCTGAGATGCCCAGCTCCAGAGCCATGTGGAGACACATGAAGTGCCCAAGGCAAGCAGGGCCTCGGGTGTGCTGCGGACCTCGTGTCTGATCTAAAAATATGACACAGTGACAATCTCACAGCCCCGGGGCTGGGGAGGTGGTGGAGTTGGGGGCGGACAGCAGAATAGGATCGTGGGCTACAATTAAAATTCCCATCCTGGGTAATTCCCAGGCCTCCGCAGGGCTGTTTCCATGGCAAGGGAGGCTGGCCCGGAGGAGACGGGCTCCTGACGGGGCTGGCTCCTCCTGCCATGGAAGCCTCTGCCCTGGCCAGCCAGCTCAGAGCACAGTGCAGGCCTGCTCGGACCCGGCCGTGCAGGCAGAGGCCCAGGAGAGGCCTTGCCCCCTGCTCTTTGGGTAGGCGCTCAAAGTGGCAGAGACAGAGAAGGAGGGACAGTCTCTGGACTCAGGGGGCAACTCAATGACACGTCCTGGGACTACAGGAGCCACCACGACCCCGGCCCAGACTCTTGGGACACCTGGACCAGCAAGGAACACCAGTCTAGCCCCTTCACTGAGGCAGAAGGAAACCTCGAGCCCTGGAGGCATGTTCTCTGGCTGAGAGACCCTTCCCGCAGCCTCCAGCACCCCGGGCCCCCCACGGATCTCCAGGCCAGCTCTCCCTGTCCGACCTCCTGCCCTGTCCCCTCTCACCCACCCTCACTCTGCACTCCCATTTTCCCTTGCTCCTGGAAGCTCACCTCATACTGGCCACCAGGGCAACCCTGTCTGCAGCCCCGGTGGTCCTGAAAGGCTGGAGGCCCTTCTGGCGCCTCCTTCTGGTCGGTGGTGACAGGCAGGGCATCTGCACAGGCGGGCTGCAGAGGTGGGCAGGTCAGGAGACAGATGCCAGGTTGCCCTGAGGCCTCGCCTCTGGGGAATCTGGGGAAGCCCAGTGGGCTGCCCAGCCCCTCCCCACCCGAGGGCCACCACCTAGCACGTGTGAGCCGCAGGCAGCTCCCTACAGGCTGCTCCAGGGGGACACTCGGGCTGCCCACATCATCCCCTCCAGGAAAAGAGGGGCCGATCCAGAGGCGTCACTCCTGTGGCTCAGCTTGCTCCCATTCACATCTGCCCCCAGCCTCTGGCCGCTCCGCCTCTCGGGCTGCTACACCAGCTGCGAGGACACCATCAGCAAGTCCCCAGCCCTTGGCGTTCAGGGCCAGGGGCACCGTGAAGAATGGGAGTATCCTCTGGGATGAATGGGAGGCAGGGACTTGGGCTGAACTAGGGGAAGGAGGGGCAGGGGGATCCCCACTAGGTGTGGCCAGCCCTTACTCAGGGGATCCATGGGCACTAGACAGCCCAGCCCTGGTCAGTGCCACACCGGTCGGCTCTGGGAACTCAACCCAGAACAATGGGGCCATTCACTCAGCCCAGCTTCTCACAATGCCCTCTTGGTTTGTCTCTGTGGCTAGACTGTGTGAGTGTGTGTGTGTGTGTGTGTGAGAGAGAGAGAGAGAGAGAGAGTGTGTCTGTCGGTGTGGGCGTGTGTAAGGTGGGCGGGGGACTACAGGTAACTGGAGAGCCCGAGAGGAGACAGGAGAAAGAGCACCGACAGAGCTTCATTCGGAATGGCACTGACCTCTTTCACTAACCGGTTTCTGTGTGTCACCACTCTCTGGGGTAGAGGCACTGTCCTCAGGACAGCTGTGCTGGTCAGTGCCAGGACAGCCCCCGTGTCAAAGACAAGGAAACTGAGGCAGGGTCAGAGAAGTCAAATACCAGTAGCTTCTTGACAGGGAACTTTCTGGGGTGATGGGAAAGTTCTCTTATTCGGGTGGTGGTCCCTGCGGTACATACAGGTGTGCAAATGCTTTTTTCTCACTGTCTACTAGAGAGATGTGCATTCTGCTGTCTGTACATTATATTCCAGTAACAAATAAAAGTGAGGGACCACCAGCTGGCATAATGGCTATGTCTCTGGGCTCTCACACAATTGACTGCTGTTCAAGTCCCAGACCCGGTGGCTTAAAACTCACGCCAGGCACGTGTGCGTGCTTGCCCAACATCCCAAGAGGAGAAGGGATTGCAGCATGGCCATCCCCCCGGGGGGTGATTTCTCACTTTCTGTCTCTGTCTCTCCAACAAGCATGCACACCCTATAGCAAAAATCTCTCTAAAAAAATAAATAGGGGCCAGAGGATGGCATGGTGGTTAAAGTGCTGGACTCCCACATGACTGACCATAGTTCAAGTTCCAAACCTGGCAGTTTGCTCTGTGTGTGTGTGTGTGTGTGTGTGGCCAAATTAAAAAATAGTAATAATAATGATAAATACTTCTTTAAAATAAATACATAGAAAAATAAAAATGATCTTGCACCTATAGACTGGACTATTACCCAGCCCTAATGAAAGAATGAGGAGGTATTTAGATGCTAACACAGATCTCTGAGATACAGTTAGATGAAAACGAGCAATGTGCAAAAACATTCTTTTGCAGATAGTGTGCAAACACATAGTGTTAACACTGCCCGTCCGTACCCGCCTGTGTGTGTAGGTTACCTCCGGACAGATACACTGGAGCCATGGTGCCGCTGGGGAGAGGGGCCACGCGGCTGGCGACAGAGGCGAGAGGAAGACTTCCGCAATATACTCTTTTCTTAACCCATGGGAGTGTATTACTTCTTCAAAAATTAAATGAAATTAAAACACACAATAAAAGAGTTCCTAAGCTGTGGATTCCCCAACCATTATGTCAATTGCTTCAGTGCATTTAATTCCAAAGCACACGGCCTCTCCTCTCCGCCCGCTGTCTACGGCCTGTCTCCCTTCCTCAAACGCGGCCAGAATGCGTCTGTCTCGGCTGCCCAGCTGGGGAAAGTTCATGGCTGGGCTCCACCAGGGCCGGCCCAGAACCCTCTGTGGCCTGAGAGCCAGGGGGATGGGTTGGATCTGGAGCCTGAGAAGCTGCTGAGAAACTGCTGAGCCCACAGAGCCGAGCACCCCCTGAAGGGGATGAATGCAAACAGGTCATGAGAGCCCTCCCGCTGAGCGGGATTCCCCAGATCGCCACCCAGCCCCGTGGTCCCCACTACATTGCAACTGCCTCCTATGCTCCCTCCGTGGTGTCTGCCTGGTGCGGAGGAGACCCCAGGCTCAGGGAGGCTTAGAGAAAGCACCTCCGCCCCGCCCTGCTCAGGCAAGAGGGGGCAGTGAGAGGCAGCCTGCTCCTCCCTCAGAGAAGGCTGCCTCTCACTGACTACAGCGGAACATGTAGCTTCTTGAAAAGAGCCAGGATGGTTGACAGCCCTGGGTTCGAATATAAGCACTTTCATTTCCTGGCCAGTAAGACCTCACGCGGTGGGGCAGTGGGGCAGGTGTGCGTGTGGTAAAAGGATTTACCAGAGACAGAAATGTGAACATGAGTAGAAGTTTATTAGCGCTCCAGCAACAGTGCCCGGGAGAGGCCAGGCAAGAATATCCGGGACAAGACCTGATCAGGTTCTCGAGTTCGTGAGTTCGTGCCCCGGGAGGGTCTCTTTCTATGGCCTCAGTTGCAGGGGAAAGGGAAGGATACTGTGCAAGCTCAGTCCAGGTGGGAGGCTGGTCCTTTCTCAGGAGTGCAGGGCGTCTATCGACCGCAGAGCTTATTGTCAGAGATGGCACCAAAGAGGGGTCTGGAAAGTCTGTTTCCCCTGTTGTAAAAGCTATGTCAGGGTCTTTATCC